TTTTTTTTTTTTTTTTTTTTTTTTTTTTTTTTTTTTTTTTTTTGTAAAATATGTTTTGCCTGCTTAGTACAAGTATAGATTAATGAATTGTCTAGTAAATCTTTGCCCTGTCTGCGTGGTTGTTTCATAGTCTCACCACACATCTGTGTGTCTGTCTAAGTACTGGTGTCTTGTCTGATGTGAATGGGGCAGGGTTAGTGAAGACGAGGAACATAACTAAGTGTCATAGGGCCAGCAATAACTCCTTTGTAGAAAAGGTGAAGGGCCATGCTGACTTGATATATGTTTTAATGCTTTCAGTCTTTGGGCTGTATCTGCTTTTGTGATACAGGTGTGTGAGCAGCTGAATGGAGTTACTACTTGCCAAGTTAAACATTGTAAGGTTAAGCATAATTAATGCTTAGAAAAATGGAGGTGGAAGACTTCAGATTTAACATGGAAATCTGGATAGTTGGGTGTTCTATTAAGTCATTCTGGAATATGATCCTGGTTTAAGTGAAAAGAATCATATCAGTGACTGTCATATGCTGTTGGAGATGGGTGGGGTGTTGTTTCTGTCATTGTAGAGGATTCCTTACAAGGGTGGGGTACATTTTTTCTCTACAGAAGGTGCAGTCAAGCAGATAACTGCCCTTCTGCCCATGTTGGCTTGTATAGATGATGTGACAATTTAGAATTTTGGAAATGTGTTGGATGTCTCTCTTTCTCTCTCTCTCTCTCTCTCTCTCTCTCTCCATCTATCCTGTCTATCTCTCTTCACCCATCTCTCTCGCTCTTCTCTTTCTCTCTCCTGTCAAACACACAAATGCATGCATTTCAAGAAATGTCAAACACCTGTTCTTATACAGGTGAATTGTATTACTGAAAACTGATTTCCTAGTTTTAATGCCAGTCACCAGTTCCAAGTATAGCCATACAAAACCCTCATACTTCCCAAAAGTCAACAAGTGCAAATTTTCTTTGTCAGTTAATACTGGAAATACCACATACAATTGTATTTATAACTTTGAACCCGTATAATTCTAGGTATTGTTCAAAAGCTTGTTTAATTTCCAATTATATAACAGCAGAGCTGAGCTGTCAGCTTACTAGCTAGTACTAGTACGTAATTGGGTAAAATGTGCAGGAAATGTGCTTTGGACCGTCAGTATCTCCAAAGTTTTCCCCCTGCCTGGTTCATTATAATACAAGCAGTTTTGGTGGAATTTGGTGAGTAGTCATCACATTTATTTACCTGGGTTTATTTTTATGATTTCAGTTCTTTGGAGAGTTTGGGCACACCTTTATGGAGTTTGTCACCAACAGTGGAGAATATTGCCAGGCCCAACACAAGTAGACTAGCAACCAGGTCGATCTCCTTGGTAATCAGAAATATCTCCACGGTAACCAGATAACTTTTGCTCATTCAATCAAGGACTTTGAAGACGAAGGAGAACGGGATATCTGAACACCACGCGTTTGCCCTACTCTGAAAGGAGAAGTGGAAACACGCCTTTTTAAGTGTGCTCTGCCAAGTTACGAAAATTCTCGGCCCTCGCTGCTCACTGCTTGCTGGAGCATCCAGCCTTAGCTTCCATTCTCCCAACGCGTGGGATTACGAATGGGGTAAAAGAGGCGGTCGACTACCCCCAGTGCAAGCTCCGGTGCCAGTGCTGCTGTCTTGTGGCGACCTCTACTGGTATATTTACGGCGTAAGGTTTACGAGGGGAGACTATACAGCCTTGTCTAGGATTGGGTGAATGTTTTAAAGAAATTTTTTTGACGACGAAGAGATTTCTTCACGGCCTTAACAAGGATTGTCTTTGTGGTGTGCAGAAAGTGGATTTGTTTGCTGAAGGCACAAAAAATCACATTTTTGTTGCCTTTAATTGAAAAGAATTGTGCTCAGCACTTAATAACAAACTTCCTTGCCACACTGAGGACTGATTCTGTCTGTTGAGTGGGAAAAAATCGGATTATTACTGTTATTGATTCCAACAGGAACAAGAGGCTAACATACACTAACAGTTAACTTGTTGGAGCTGCGAGGCGAATCGACACTCTGACGTTGTATTATTCTATTTTTAATTTATTTTTAGCCAATTTGTATCATACACCTGTTCTATTTGTCTTTTTGTTTGTTTGTTCACCGCGTTATGACAGCTAATATGAAGGCCCGCAAGCCAGCCCCTGCTGTTATTGAGTACAAAAACATGAGGTTTCTGATCACAGACCGCCCCACGGATGTGACCATGGAAAAGTATATCGAGGTGGGTGTGACTGATGAATTGAATCTGGTTAGATTTGTTTTATATGGATGAGAAATTAATGATTTATTAATTAATGTAATTTATTGCTCCAATTAGGTTATTTTTGTGTTCATATTTGATCTGTTCTTATATTCAACGAGTCCTTGTTTAAGATGAAAGATTTGTTGAATTGTTAGATTACTTATAGATTCATGTTTCCATATTAATGACTTAATCTGATAATATATTTAATTTTTTTTTAATTCTTTTATTGTAAAATCCAAAGATTTTGATCACAAGAAATAAATACTATTACTCTGAATCATTATTCAATTTTAAGTTAGTAGTTTCTGACCTGTGAAATTTTTTCCTTCCTCCAGGAATTGAAGAAACATAATGCCAAGGATGTGGTTCGTGTCTGTGAGCCCACATACAAGACGGAGCAACTGTCGGAGGAGGGAATTAGAGTATTGGTGAGGCTTTTCTGACTGCTTTGTGAGACTGACATTAATTTTTTCCTTCTTTTCCTTGGCAGAAATCTCTGCTTTTGAAAATGATACCCATTTACTAACGCCAAGAAAGATAGTCATGTAAAGTATGTCAGTTTGTTAGGTAATTGGACAGATCAGAAATGGGCTATCTTTAAATCAAATACAATTTGGTTGGTAATATTTCCTTGCTCCTCTTCCAGGACTGGGCGTTTGATGACGGCAATCCCCCGCCACCCGAGGTGATGAATGACTGGTTCAACTTACTGAAGACCCGCTTTAAGGAGGACCCCGACTCGTGTGTGGCCGTGCACTGTGTGGCTGGACTGGGGAGGTGAGATAACCTGGGCGCTCGCTCTCGCTCTCTCTCTCTCACACACACACACACACACACACACACAAGCAAGCTCTTACTCAACGTTCACAAAGCATTCATTTATTCTAACACATACCCACAGATAAACATACAAAAACTTCTCTCTCACTCTGGTACATTATCTCTTTCACATATACACATGCTCACTCACTCTCTCTCTCTTTATCTCTCTCTCTCTCTCTCTCACACACACACACACACGCACAAACATGCGAGCTCTTACCTCTATGTTCACAATGTGTTCACACACATACCCTCAGACAAACATAAGCTCTCTCTCACTGGCATATTATCTCTAGGTGCACATGCTCAATCTCTCTCTCTCTCTCTCTCTCTCTCTCTCTCTCTCACACACACACACACACACACACACAGCTAGGTGTTTGACAGCACTTGATGAAGACTTGTTTCTCCTTTCAGAGCCCCTGTCCTGGTAGCACTAGCACTGATAGAACTGGGGATGAAGTATGAAGATGCTGTAGAGCTCATAAGACAGTAAGTTGCTTCTCAAGTCATAATAATAATATGATAATAATAATGATAATTTAATAGTAACAGTGATAATAATAGTCACAAAAATGTTAATAATAATAATAATGTTTTTAAAGATAAAGACTTACCTTAAGTAAAACTTATTGCCAGTATGGACCTCTGAAAGGTTGATGCTTCCTTTAATTGTTTTATATGCTTAGTTGGCAGAGTTCTGATTGTTGCAGCCTATTTCATTTTGAAACTAGGTCCTTGGAGAGAAGTTTAAGAGTGAAAGGGAGCGCCACAGTACTGGAAGTCAGTTCAGGTTCCATTATATTTATTTATTAATCAGGCAATAAAAAAAAAATAGATAAAAGGAAACTGATTTTCACTTTTTCAGAAAACGCCGAGGTGCCATCAACACCAAACAGTTGGCCTTTCTGGAGAAGTACCGCCCCAAATCACGCCTGAAGAATCGTTCAAATGGACACAAGGCCTGCAGAATCATGTGACTCCATCTCAGTAGTGAGGTCCCATGGAACTGATGCATGACCATCCTTGTGAAAGAAACCAAATATATATATAAATATAGATATATACAAACTACTAAATATGGTGCAGAGACTTTGTATTACATACCACTAGCAACTCGATCCCAAGGAGAGTTTTATACATTGTCCTTCCTTGGGGTCTTGTCATTTTATATTTAAGAAGAAAAAGAAAAAACAGCATTTGAAAAAAAAAACATTTTTCTAAAAAAAAAGTATTTTTGAAAACACCAGATGCTCTCAAAAGTCAGTGCTTTTGAGTTTAAATTTTCAGCCCATTGTTGAAAAAATGCAAAATTAGTTAGATACAGAAGTAAAACTCTAGGTGTTGAAATAGGTGTTTCTGTTCAATAGCACACCTGGAACTAAGTGGACTTTGGTTGCTAACAGCCTATTTGCTTTGTTACAGAAATTACGAGTGGTTAATAAGGCTGACACATAATGCAAGGCATTTTTTCATCGGTTCTTTGACACGGTTCAGGTGTTCTTTCTTTTTCATCTGTTCCGTTATAAGAGGCCATTTGCCATTGGCTGTTTCACCAAATGCTACTTAGTTCTGGACCAATAGCAGTAGTCGACTCTTTGAATATTAAGTGGTAAGGTTTCTTGTGTCCTTCTGAATCTATGATATACATATTGTGAGTAATGTCACATAGCAGTATGGCTCTCTGTTAAATACTTAAATATCACTTTGGTAACAGTTTGGGGTTTATTTATTTGTTTAGGTCTTTTCACATTGAGTGTTGTGTCTTAGCAATACAACTGTGCTGGTTTTGAGAGACGGACAACTTTCAAGCCTGGCTGCTGCATACGTGACAGAGTAACTAAGATGGAGGACTTTCAATTGAATAACTTAAGTTAACTAAACAACTGGAAACAACCATCTGGGAAAGTTGTGAAAGGGATTGAAGTCTCTTTTAACAAAATGGCATGGTAACACTTTTCCAAACTTTGGGATGCAGCTTTATCTGTCTGAAGTATAACCTTCAGTGTGAAAAGGCCTCAATCATATGACCACTCCTCATTTTCTGTGTTTTGCTAGAATTAAATCAGGGTGGGGCATTTTTAAGGGGGTTTAGGGAGGGGGGGGGGCTGAAGGCTTGCCGTTATCCATGGTTTGATGTATAAATGTATAATCTCATTTTGTTCACGTGTCATAATATGGAATGTTGGGAAGTATGTTGTAAGTATTAAGTTGTCTCTCTATAGTATGCACATTGATTTAAATGAGGAAGATACCTCCCAATGCCTCAGTATATATAAATATATGAACATATAATGCCCTAGGCTCCTATTCCTGATCTAAGTTTTTTTTTTTTTTTTTAAGGATCGTGTTGAATTTCCCCCAACTGAATGTTATGTTCTACAAATTTTTGAATGATGTTTTTTGTTCTTGGAGAAGTTTGGCTCGCGTTTGTTTTTATTTCATTAAATGATTATTGTTCGTTTTCTTATTACTTTTTGGGGTCACTTGGACCTCAGGTTGAGTATTTTTGTGGCTCTATGCAGTTTGGTAAGCCAAGGGGTCAGCACAGTAGAACAGAGGTAGTGGTTGGGTGATTTTTAGTTGAAAACCACAGCTTTGCCCTGTGTTCTCTATAGAATATATTAGTACCTTGCTACAACGTGACACTCATCAGGTACTTCGTACTGATGCTAATTGGTGCAACAAAGGCGTGCTTAGATTTTGATGAATCGGATTTTAAAAGTTGATATATATATGAAGATCTCGTTGTATAAACTGGGAACCTCCTTTCAGAAGCCTGTCAATACTTGGAGACCTAGTTAATCTTCCATATGCGTAGACTTAAAACGCTGTCAGTGCAAGAGTCCGCTGACAACTATTTAAAACTGGTGATGTAGGTCAGGGAACGTTTCCAGAGCACAATTTAAGCACACCCGAGTCTCACCAAACGCAATGACGCTCATAAATGCCCGCATTTTATATTATAGTATTGGAGCCAATTGCTTCTTGAGGTTAAAAATGAAAATAAAACTTATTTCAATTTATTTGTTTTAGTTTTCTTTGGGTTGTATTTATGTGTTTCTCGTGTCTTTTTTACCCGAAAATTGTGATAAAATATTGGGGGGGGGGGCGGCGGGGGCGGTGGTAAGTGTTGTTGACCAGAGAGGTTAGTCTCCAGTAGCTCGGGCTATAATGCTCTGTGTTCAGTTTCATTGAATCTTGTTGAGGACAATTTTCTGTAATATGTAGGGTGTTTTAATTTTCTCATTTCCCCGCCCTACTACCCTAGGTTCTAGATTCCGGTATTGCCAGCTCGATCTTGATTTCATATATAACCCATATCGCAATACCTAGTGAAAGTGTCTCCATGGTATATTAAATATTAAACAAACTAACTTTCACGTTGCTCTGACACTCGGGGTACGCCCTACTTAAATCGGTGTAAAACAGCACTAGTACTGCAGAGCCTCGAGAGAAAGCTTTAGCGTACGAAGAGAGAGTAGAGGAGAACCAGTATATGTGCTGGTGTTTTTTTCTTGTAATGCTTTTTTTCTGAGGGGTTGTGCTGTCACCTATCCCTCTGTGTCCTTTTGGACTGCCATTTGTTTAAAAATGTAATTTTTTTATCCAAATTTTAAAAATAACAGTAATAATAGATATAAAGCGTGCCATGTGCGAAACACATCAAACTGAATTCGTTCGTCAAAACATACAAAAATAAATTCATAAATGAAAATAGAAGTTATTAAAGAAAAGAAATCTCAAAAATAGAGGCCGCGTCTCCTGAGAGAAAATTATCGACCAAAAGATGGCGTTACACATTACATTTACTTGAAGCGTTGACCTAGCTCTTACAAACAAGCTCACTGTTAGGGGTGACTGTTAGCTTATCAGATATTGCACTCCAGGGTAGGGCCGCTAGATGTGAGTAAAGTCACCGGCCGGATTAACAACAGCAGCAGTAACAGCAGTAGAAGCAAGAGATATAAAGCAGGATCAACAGTAGAGGTTACAATAGTATCCTGAGAATGCATTCACACTGGAGAGACTGTCAGGTAAATTCATCCTAAGTGTCGTCGTCATTATCATCGCGTGTCAAGCTGTCTGGGATAGATTATCATGTCTAGTCACTTTCTATCCTTAGTACATCTCGGAAGATTTGTGGGTCTTTCATTTCAAGCGCCCTTAACACAGCGACCTGTACAGTCTTCTGTACCGCCACAGTTTTAGAAATTGACCTCCAACAGCCTGGTTATTGCGTAGGAGAGCCACCTAGTCAATAATAGGTTGCTTGTTTACACAGACCGTCGTGAAGTGTCCTCTGAGTATCAGATTTGACAACCGAGTGTGCATTTTTACAACCGAGTGTGCATTTTCTAATTTGTTAAATGATATTTCTTTTAAGTGAGTTGAAACAACACTGACTCCTCTCTTGTGTTTGTTTCTTAATTTTTGTTTGGCAAAGTCTTCAAATGTATGATTTGAAGTATGGAGAACTACTGTGAGTATAAATAGAACCTTTCTGTGGCAAAAAATTAACAGCAGCACTTCTTGGAAGTCTGATTTTTGAAGTTCAAACTTTTGGACACTAAGGACAAAGAACAATGGAGACCTGAAAGTAGGTCAAGGAGGTGGAAAGCTGACATCACTTGAAAGTTGAAATGCTGCAAGAACTTGACTTGTATATCTCCTATCTGTTCTGAAACTACGTGGTTGATACAAAATATCTCTACTAGCATCTGAAATGACCAAGAAAAGGAATTCTTCAAAGAAAAAAGGCTACTATGCTGTGGCAAGAGGCTACCAAGTTGGTGTCTACAGGACCTGGGAAGAGACTGAGAAGCAAGTTCTAGGCTACTCTGAAAATCTGCATCAGGGATACATCTACTACTCAGGTGCCAAAAAGTTCATGACAAAGGCTGGGATTCATTCATTCAAAGTATTCGAAAATGGAAAGGAGTACGATAACGAAATTTATGAGAAACTTCTAATGGAGGAAAAAACAAAGAGCACTCTTGACACAAGTGGAGAAAATGGAGAAGCCCAAGAGGATGAGGAAACACAGGCAAAAACACAAGGTGAAACAAGTGTGAAAGAGCTCTATGAAGAGAAAAGTACTAAACCCAGGCATGAACATGAAGAGACAGAAAGGGCCTTGAGTACCCCCATCAAACTACCAAGTAAAAGCACACCTGCGGCAACAACTACACCAAAGCAGACATTCTTGCTTAAGGCTGAATCAGTCAAGCAGAGATGGTCAGATAATTGGACTGAGAACTTTACTTCAATAAACAATGCCCTTGTCAATTTGGAGGCCAGCCAGACAGAACTCATTAAAGTCTTACAGACAAACAATGAGAGACATAGTACTGAGAACAAAGAAATGAGAGATACTATCAAGCTACAGGCAGAAAAGATAAACAATCTGAGAGATACTGTCAAGCAACAAACAGAGAAGATAAACAATCTCACCCTTCAGAGTAACCTGCTGCAAACAGAGCTGAATGAAATGAAGAAAATTGTAAAAGAGAATGCAGAAAGAATTGAAAAGAAAGAACTTGATGAAACACACTCAAACTCACACCAACTCTCACAAAATCATACAAACAGTATGATTACAGATGACTTTCCCAAAAACAAGACTTATGCAGATATGGTAAAGACTACCAACACTGAAAGCCAAGCCCTACAGGGGACAAGTACTAGTATGTGGAAATCTACTGGAAAAGTTACTTCCCAAAAACATTCCCTGATACTGTCAGACTCAATATTTAGTAGGATGCACGAGACCCGCACAAAAAGTATGCTTGTAGAGCAGCAGTATGTACGTGGTGGGGTAGAAGCAATGATAAAAGCTATCCAAGAATGTGATAAAACAGACTTTGACAGTGTTGTGCTACATACAGGGACTAATGATCTGAAATACTTTGCAGATGGCACAATGACACCAGGGATAGCATATGATAAACTAGCATCTACAGCTAAGAAGAAGTTTACAAAGGCTTCAATCATCATGTCAAGTATTCTTCCACGGCAAGACAAGAGTTACTATGAAATAAACAATGTCAACAGGTCAATTGAGAAAGTGTGTGAGAAACAAAAACTGAAATTTCAAAATAATGACCCAGTTGTCTGTTATAACTCTGGAAAAGTGAACAAAAGGATGTTTCACGACAATGTACACCTAAATGATAGACATGGACTCCCTCGTCTACTACTTCATACCAAACACTCACTAGGTGTGCACAGATCTGGAATTCCTCCTTTCCATGAAGACAATGACTGCAACACAGCAAATGGGCAGAACATCCCCGTCATCATACAGACCCGCAGAGATGTCAAACCTGTTAATCATACCCAAGACACTTACCGCCGTCAGACATATGGAGACTCTGGACACTTACTCTCCCCTAAGTCACATCATCAACATAGGAATTGGGGGAAAACCAATGTTTCATGGGGATACATACGCAGAAGAGAACCACAGCTATACATCCATGGCAGGCAGCCACGACATGACAGGGATGAGAGACATTGGCCATATAGCAGACAGCAAATCTTCTCAGGCACTCATTTTGACACTCGCTCCTGGGATTAAATGAGTATATGTAAACATGGTTGAGAAACAAAGAACTGGAAAAGTATTAAGGATAAGTAATGTGTATAATAAGTATTCCAAATGTCCACGCCATATTCTTATCAAGTCCAACCAACTCAGTAAGTACAAAATGTTTTAACCAATTATTACTGTAAAAACATAAGTTGTTCAAAACTGAAATTGTTTAAGTTGTTGTAGGTAATCTTTACATTCATGCATNGTATAATGCTCTATGTTCAGTTTCATTGAATCTTGTTGAGGACAATTTTCTGTAATATGTAGGGTGTTTTAATTTTCTCATTTCCCCGCCCTACTACCCTAGGTTCTAGATTCCGGTATTGCCAGCTCGATCTTGATTTCATATATAACCAATATCGCAATACCTAGTGAAAGTGTCTCCAAGGTATATTAAATATTAAACAAACTAACTTTCACGTTGCTCTGACACTCAGGGTACGCCCTACTTAAATCGGTGTAAAAACAGCACTGCAGAGCCTCGAGAGAAAGCTTTAACGTACGAAGAGAGAGTAGAGGAGAACCAGTATATGTGCTGGTGTTTTTTTCTTGTAATGCTTTTTTTCTGAGGGGTTGTGCTGTCACCTATCCCTCTGTGTCCTCTTGGACTGCCATTTATTTAAAAATGTAATGTAAATGTTTTTTATCCAAAATTTAAAAAGAGCAGTAATAATAGATATAAAGCGTGCCATGTTCGAAACACATCAAACTGAATTCGTTCGTCAAAACATACAAAAATAAATTCATAAATGAAAATAGAAGTTATTAAAGAAAAGAAATCTCAAAAATAGAGGCCACATCTCCTGAGAGAAAATTATCGACCAAAAGATGGCGTTACACATTACATTTACTTGAAGCGTTGACCTAGCTCTTACAAACAAGCTCACTGTTAGGGGTGACTGTTAGCTTATCAGATATTGCACTCCAGGGTAGGGCCGCTAGATGTGAGTAAAGTCACCGGCCGGATTAACAACAGCAGCAGTAACAGCAGTAGAAGCAATAGATATAAAGAAGGATCAACAGTAGAGGTTACAATAGTATCCCGAGAATGCATTCACACTGGAGAGACTGTCAGGTAAATTCATCCTAAGTGTCGTCGTCATTATCATCGCGTGTCAAGCTGTCTGGGATAGATTATCATGTCTAGTCACTTTCTATCCTTAGTACATCTCGGAAGATTTGTGGGTCTTTCATTTCAAGCGCCCTTAACACAGCGACCTGTACAGTCTTCTGTACCGCCACAGTTTTAGAAATTGACCTCCAACAGCCTGGTTATTGCGTAGGAGAGCCACCTAGTTTTGGGCCGCCGTCAATAATAAGTTGCTTGTTTACACAGACCGTCGTGAAGTGTCCTCTGAGTATCAGATTTGACAACCGAGTGTGCATTTTTACAACCGAGTGTGCATTTTCTAATTTGTTAAAGCATAGATTACCCAACGCATTGGCGCTATGTTTTGTTAATCTTCATATTGGCGTTATGTAATCGACAGTCAGGAATGAGTATATATGGAGCGGGATTTAAGTGTACCGCAGAGTAACTGACATGTTCTCATAAACTACGATGCTTAAAACAGAGGCATGTGATGGAAACAAGGAGAAGGTCGCCGTAGATTGAATGAGGGAGAAAGAAAAATGGAGAGAAGGCGGCGCGGGAACCAATGTAAAGTAGTTAATAAAGAGTACAAAAGACCATTAAGGTCTTGCGGTTTCTGTCTTGCGTAACAGCTAAAGAAAAAGTCAATACCCGTCATATTGACACGTTTTCATATTTATTCCCACGCAATATAACATGACTTCCCCCTGCTTGCCTGCCCCCCCCCCCCAGCTTGCAGCCTAAGGCCCTTCACTGACTACGATTATTCAGATAACTAATGGAAAGAGTGCACACTTTCACGTGTCATTTATGTACTGTGACACGTGCCGCGTAAGTGATTGATTTTTTTTCTAAAGCAAATGACGAAATTTAAGAAAGCATTTAAGCACAGATAAGTTTAGTGGGTACGTAGTTGGTGTGGTTGGACTTGAAATGACTTTCTACCTGTTTAGCCTGTTTTACAGAGTACTAAAGAGATATATCTATATTATTACATATATATATATAAAAATGTATATACTAAAAAATACTAACTTTATGTTCGTCATTGTTCTAAAACGCTGAATAAGTTATGATTTAAATACAGAAGATTCCTTCTGTATTTAAATGAAAATGAAAGAAATGTATTTGTTTCAATCTAAACAAGATAAATAAATAAATGAATAAATAAATAAATAAATAAATAAATAAATGTAGATTTGTTAATTGGATGGTTGGTTAATTGACGACTGCTTTAATTAATTGATTAATTAGTACAGTTCTTGTTCATGTGGCTAGGCGTGGAGACGGGAAGGACTGCCTCTTTCTACCACCAGCAACGACGCCTGCAAGATGTACGACGCTGTCCTCACACAGGTACCGTATAACTAGGTCTTAGGCACTTTTTTAAATATAGATAGAAGCCTAAGGACTCATAAGATAAAAGACAAAAGAAAAAATAAGAAGGAAGGCTGGAAATACACGTATTATATATAATGCGGTTCACTAAGAAAATAAGAAAAAAATAAATGTTAGAAAAGTAAGAAAAAAAATCGCAAATGTCAGGGAAAATACTGCTGTAAATGACCGGATTTTCACAAACCTGTTCCCATTTCCAGTATGTCGGTTGGTATGAAGACCCCTCCGTTGGTGGCATTCAGAAAGCAATAGAGAACATGGCAACAGCAGACCCTAATTTCGGTAAGTGTCCACTTAGCCACTCTTTACTTAAAAATAGATAAATTAATAAAAATTAGGATGTCTGAAAATAAATTAATAAACATGAAAACAGGACAGCTGTCTACCAAACTCTTTTGACTTTAAGAACAGGAAAAGGGGTATATAGATAGTAATTATTCAACGGTTTTGGACACCGTATACCTTGGTGGTGAAAGGAAAAAAAGTTTAATTACCATTACTTTGAAATATAACTCTTGCATGCATTGTATGCTTTCACATTTCCTGCTATTCCAGTTATGGCACACGTGATGGCTAATGGGCTGACTCTGTTAGCCGGAAATAAGTCGATAGCACATGACCCGGTGATGCAGGCCGCCGTGGCCAAGATGGCGCAATTGGCGGCAAAGAATAACATTACGGATCGAGAGCGGAACCACGTGTCTGCCGTAAAACTATGGGCAGAGGGGTAAAGTCTGTTATGTCTTGTAGACACTAGCGATATGGGATGGGGGGATGCAGGGGCATTTATGCAGAACAAAGAAAGGCAAGAAAAAAATTTGGGCTAGGACAATTTTATTGTAATATATAGGAAACAGGGATAAAATATTGCCTGGTTTTGTCTTATCTTTTTGTTATGGGAGGGGGGGGGGAGGGAGGCGTTCGTTGAAAGCGGGAAGAAGGAATATGTGGGGCATATGTTAGCACCCCCTCCCCTAGACAGACCATTATACGAACATACTACATGTATCAGGTGAAAGTATTTCCTCTTCTTCTTCTTATTATTATTGTTATAAATGTACTTACTGTTGCTTTCTTCGACCAAACTTGCAGATAAATCATACATACAGATAAACAATATAGTCATTGTACAATGACACTGACAGACATTAGTCCCAAAGCCTAATGCCAAATAAATATCCATTACATCCGAATTACCAATTGTACAGAATTAAAATTTGGTGACTTTGCTTGTATTATTGCATCAGAACTGACAGTAGCTTATTTTGTGCATTATTATTTTCTGTTTATTGTCTGCACAGTTGACTGCTTTGCTGCCTTGTTTATTTTTTGTACTCGTTGCATCTCGAAACATTTGAAATGAATCAAGTGTTTGAAAAAAAGCTTCCTTAAGTAATGTTTATTCACCCTGAGGTTCAGCGAAAATTTGAAACAAATCTCTACGCTGTAGCATACCTTTGCCATTTCAAGTTGAGGTGTGTTTCAAGTTATCTCTGAAGCTCGGGTTGTGTGTGTTGGATTTAGCCTTAAACTTGTCTCCTTCGATTAAAACCAATACTCTGACATATATTTTCATACTTTTGAATAAGTAGACTGAAAAATAAAACAAGATTGTTTTTCTCGAATTTTCTTTGCATGTGGTAGGACCCAACGTTATAAACCTCTTGCTGTACGTTGTAATTCTAATATGGCTCCAGACATTCCTTAACATATCAACCANCTTATATATATTTTCTGATGAGTGTCGCTTTGGTCTGACCTCTGATGACAGACGGGTACTATGCTGGCAAACTGCTGGTAAAGCATTTGAACCACATGCACTGAATTTTCGAACCCGGAGCAGCATATTCATCATGGTGTGGGGCTGCATCAGCATCCATGGTTTGGGCGAATTGATAGTGGTTAATTGAAACATGAATCACTGGAAATATATCGATGTTTTGGAGTCAGGCTTGCTACCATCTATTACTAACATGTTTGGTGACAGGAATTATCCATTTTTTCACCAGGATGACAATGCTCCTTGTCACAGGCCCAGAGCAGTTGATGATTGGTTTGACCAAAAGGATATTCGCAGGGTGATGTGGCCTGCCCAGAGTCCGGGTGCAAACATAAAAGAAAATGTGTGGAATGATATGTCAAAACTTTTTACAAATGCCCGTCTAACCAGCAGAGAAACTCTGTTATATTCAGTGTTTCATGCTTGGGCCAGCATAAGCCCTGAACGCATCAGACATTTATATGAAACCTTGCTTCGTAGACTGGCACCTATTATTAGGTCACGTGGCTATGCCACCAAGTACTAATTTTGGACTTAAAACTGCATATTTTGGTAGAATGTATATTTTGTGCTCATTTTGTGATTTTTTGTGAAATTTGATGTTAATAAAATGATACCAGGAGCATATCATTCCACAGTCATTTATCTCCCCCATACTATTGGCTCAGTAGGGGTGACACTTCTTTTGTCCAGTGTGTGTAGATAGATGGAAGCCTAAGGACTCATAAGATAAAAGACAAAAGAAAAAATAAGAAGGAAGGCTGGAAATACACGTATTATATATAGTGCGGTTCACTAAGAAAATAAGGAAAAAATAAATGTTAGAAAAGTAAGAAAAAAAATCGCAAATGTCAGGGAAAATACTGCTGTAAATGACCGGATTTTCACAAACCTGTTCCCATTTCCAGTATGTCGGTTGGTATGAAGACCCCTCCGTTGGTGGCATTCAGAAAGCAATAGAGAACATGGCAACAGCAGACCCTAATTTCGGTAAGTGTCCACTTAGCCACTCTTTACTTAAAAATAGATAAATTAATAAAAATTAGGATGTCTGAAAATAAATTAATAAACATGAAAACAGGACAGCTGTCTACCAAACTCTTTTGACTTTTGGACACCGTATACCTTGGTGGTGAAAGGAAAAAAATTTAAATTACCATTACTTTGAAATATAACTCTTGCATGCATTGTATGCTTTCACATTTCCTGCTATTCCAGTTATGGCACACGTGATGGCTAATGGGCTGACTCTGTTAGCCGGAAATAAGTCGATAGCACATGACCCGGTGATGCAGGCCGCCGTGGCCAAGATGGCGCAATTGGCGGCAAAGAATAACATTACGGATCGAGAGCGGAACCACGTGTCTGCCGTAAAACTATGGGCAGAGGGGTAAAGTCTGTTATGTCTTGTAGACACTAGCGATATGGGATGGGGGGATGCAGGGGCATTTATGCAGAACAAAGAAAGGCAAGAAAAAAATTTGGGCTAGGACAATTTTATTGTAATATATAGGAAACAGGGATAAATATTGCCTGGTTTTGTCTTATCTTTTTGTTATGGGAGGGGGGGGAGGGAGGCGTTCGTTGAAAGCGGGAAGAAGGAATATGTGGGGCATATGTTAGCACCCCCTCCCCTAGACAGTCCATTATACGAACATACTATCAGGTGAAGTATTTCCTCTTCTTCTTCTTCTTCTTATTGTTATAAATGTACTTACTGTTGCTTTCTTCGACCAAACTTGCAGATAAATTATACATACAGATAAACAATATAGTCATTGTACAATGACACTGACAGACATTAGTCCCAAAGCTTAATGCCAAATAAATATCCATTACATCCGAATTACCAATTGTACAGAATTAAAATTTGGTGACTTTGCTTGTATTATTGCATCAGAATTGACAGTACTTAGCTTATTTTGTGCATTATTATGTTCTGTTTATTGCCTGCACAGTTGACTGCTTTGCTGCCTTGTTTATTTTTTGTACTCGTTGCATCTCGAAACATTTGAAATGAATCAAGTGTTTGAAAAAAAGCTTCCTTAAGTAATGTTTATTCACCCTGAGGTTCAGCGATAACTTGAAACAAATCTCTACGCTGGAGCATACCCTTGCCATTTCAAGTTGAGGTGTGTTTCAAGTTATCTCTGAAGGTGTATTGGATTAAGCCTTGAACTTGTCCCCTTCGATTAAAACCAATACTCTGACATATATTTTCATACTTTTGAATAAGTAGACTGAAAAATAAAACAAGATTGTTTTTCTCGAATTTTCTTTGCATGTGGTAGGACCCAACGTTATAAACCTCTTGCTGTACGTTGTAATTCTAATATGGCTCCAGACATTCCTTAACATATCAGTCAGCATTAGTCTGGGCTGACAAAGGTATCACCCAGTGGGTACTAAAAAAAGAAACAATAGCACCAAAGTCTACCCGTTTCTTTACGTTAGACGTAATATCACGTGTTTTCTTCTCAGGTTTCCTCGCACCGCACCTGTGTTCAAGGTGTAATACTTCGTATTTTCAATGGAAATACTGCTAATAGTCTTCAATCAAATATTATCCAGTTTCGCCTGCCTTGTTCAAGTCCGTTTGGTAGTGCCTGTCAGCTGGCCATGCTGGTCAAAGTTTGGTATTTTCATATACTGTTTACAATGGTTAGAATTTTTTTAACTCGCACATCAAATTGGGTTACGTACACTCAGATGTGTTTTTGGAGTGAATTATTTTTGTTGTGTTATTTCGTGTAATATCACTACTGTGTAATATGAGTACTGCTTTTGAGGTTATGCACTTTGCCTACTAATCGCAGTTACTACCGGGGTACCTTGAATTCTACAGCTGCGCACACGTCCAAAAAAGAAGTCAGTTGCTTGTAGTCCCTGCTTGTTTTACTTTGAATTTAAACTTGGAGCTGGAGTCACAAAAGAACTACAAAAGTAAACCTTAAACTGGTCTTAAACTTTAAGACCAGTACTTCAGGCAAGATAAATTCGAAGAATTACTCTTTAATGAAACAGGCATTGTCCTAGTCTGGTCGGAGGTACGCCAATGACTTTCTTATTGTAAAAAAAAGTTGCAACATTTCATGCCTTTGGAGCGCTGCTGATCTATCTTGGGTCAAAGCAGTCTAAATACACTGTATATATTTAAGACCAGTCTAGAATTGTATTTTTAAAAGACAAGCTGTTGGGCAAAAATATTTTTAAGACGAAATACTAAATACTTAGTCCTGTTTGAGTACCACTTAGGCGGTAACACATGTTGTTTAGATCAGCCAAAAAACGTCACGGAAGTATTGCTCCAATAACCTCAATCCGCTTATGTTCCTTTTACAGACCTCAACTAGGTAATTGCTCGCTTGCAACTGTGAACTTCTCTGACCTTGACCCAATTAAAGATTTTTTAAATGTTTTGTTTGTAAAGGGACACTCCGGGAGCGTGTAAGATTTGGGAAGACATCCTGTTGGATCATCCGACCGATTTACTGGCCCTGAAAATGGCCGCTGACACCTACTTTTTTAATGGAATGAAACCGGAAATGAGAGACAGCGTAAGCCGCGTGCTGCCGTCTTGGAAACCTTCCATACCACTCTATGGGTAGCGTGCGCAATTGGCTGTTTTTTATTTGTTATATCATATATGTTGTTAATAAATTATTTTTTCTGATGAGCACCTGCTGAACGAGAAAATTTTCTTAATTACGATAATTAGAATTATTACCGTTTATTCACAATAAGAAGTCTGTTGTATAGTTTTTTTGTGCTTCGTGGAAGGACTCATTATATGTAGGTGGTTCACAAAATATGCAGTTCATTAAAATTGAACATGTTTCTACATTCAATGATTGACTTCATAAATACATTGTCAACTGAATTTTGTAGATATTTGACAGGTATGCATGCTTTTACGTTGGAAGAAACGTATTTATACGACGAGGCCGTGAAGACGGCTAACAAGGTAAATATGTGTATTTATATAATATAATATAATGTGGCTGAAAAGGGATAAACACTGTTAAGAAATCTGTTACAAAGTTGAATGGAAGAAGGTTGTTTTCAAGTTGTGGATATTCTTCAAATCCAAAGGTATTCGCTGGGATAATGCTATATTAAAAGGTTCAGCAATTACTCTTCGNGGCCTTTGGGGTTCTTGTCTTCGTGGGTTTTTATGAAAGACACGTCGTTTACATTTATATTGAATTTATTTACAATTTTCTGTAAAGCAGTTGATCAAAAGGAAAGATGCCACTAATAAAGTCATGTCGGTAATGTAGGCTATATACAATAAACAGTCTTATTTGAAGGCATGGGATTCTAATAGCCATAAAAATACGTCATATAAATAATACAAATAGTAGTATTTGCTTGAGAAAGGGGTCATTAATTCAGCACATGCAGAATTCACGTTTGTCTAAAGAAAAACAATTAATGAAAATATTATCTTTCTTTCAGGCCTTGAACATCAATCCAAAAGACGGCTTTGCAACTCACGCGATATCTCACGTGTACGAGATGAGAGGGGAGCACAACAAGGGCATCGATCTCATGTCTTCTAATGAACGCGACTGGGTGGTGAGTTTATCTCATTTCTAGAAATGCACAGGAATGATGACTGAACCAAAGCTAGATATCATTTAAGTTATGTTTTGTTGACATTGACTATGTGATTTTTGACGTAGGCCTACAGCTGTATGCTTAAGCACCGAGTAAAAGTTAGTTTAAAGGGTGGTCTCTGATATCGGACATTGATTACATTTTAATTAGTAAAATGAGTAATAAGATATACAAATCCTTCAACTTTTACCCTTTTTTAAATAATTTGAAAAATTATTTAAAATTAAAAATATAGCGCCATTTATATGTAAAAATCAGACAGAACATTGCATTTAAAAGAACTGATCAAGGTCTGAATAGACCTAATTTTTGAGGCTTGTTGTTAAGACATTCCTTCAATTTTTAATTACTTTTGTGGAACTTAATCTTTATATCTAAATGTCAGACTTGCAGAGCGATAGCTGGTCACTGCTACTGGCATTGGGCTGTGTACCACGTAGAAAAGGTATGATGTGCATTATATCTATGTATTTTACGTTTGCTATTTGAAACTGGATCCAAGCTTCGTTACTTACCAAAACATTAGGCATTGGAAGAAAAAAAGCCAGAATATTTGTTTTATCCAAGTTTTACAATTCGCTGGCGGATACATTATTATATTATATTATATTATATTATATTATATTATATTATATTATATTATATTATATTATTTACGTTCCAATTGAAAATTACTGCATGTGAAACAAACATGCTTTTATTCCACCATTTGGCTTTCACCTTGAACGGTTTATGGTTATATAAGCCACACAAAACGGGTTAAAAACACTATACTGTTTGTAGATTATTGTAACAAAATGAATAAATAAATAGTTAAAGCAAACAATCAAAACGGAAGCAGATTTTTACAATCTTAAGGCCCTATCCTACCAAAGTGACTGCTGATCCAGTTTATTCCTTTCAGAGATGTAGGGCTCCGTGTCCACACTCATCAAAATGGCATAATTTCTCACGTTTTTATTGTAATTATTAAGTTTTACACAAGTTTTAGTATTACAAATCGGTTTTTAAGATCTGTGTAAACTGTGATGTATATCTTTGTTCATTGTTGTTACCTCTGTTCAGCTGGTATGCCAGATGATATTTTGGGATGAAAAATGTCTGTTTCATAAATGTAGGATGGTTTTAAATATAACATCAAATATATTTCTTTCAAAACAAGGGTGAATACGAGAAAGCTCTCGACATATTTGACGCCGAGCTGGGAAAGCGTTGCAATGACGGCAACATGTTGGATCTTACCGATGCCTGCTCTATGCTGTACAGACTAGAGATGGAAGGTGTGTGAAAAAATAAATAATATTGAAATGGATTAACAATAAATAAATTAATAAACAGGGAAACACATAAGAAAAAGTATGAATTTATTTCTTTATGTAAAGAAAATCCCAAATATGTACCTTTGTAAGAATTGGCCTTCTCTTCCTCTCAGTCCACCGGACCTCTAGATGTTAAAAATACAAAATGCAAATAACCTGTTTGCATGTATTGCAAGCATCGTCCAGTTGTCCGCCAAGCATTATCTTAGGCTTCGTTCACATGGAAAGTCTATTTTCTAAAGTGCGAGCCAGTTACTATAAGTTACTATAAGTAACTGGCTCTCGCTGCCAGTAATTACGCTGCGGGATATTCAGGGCACAGACCGTGATCATAAGATACCGCGAATAGAAAATAGATTTTTAGAAAAGCCTTAACCTGTGTCGTTACTGATGCATTTGTTTTTGTCTAAAATTAGGAGTAAATGTTGGAGAAAGATGGAACGAGATTCTTGAGACGTGTCAGAGTCACGTGGGTGATCACGTGCAGTGCTTCACTGACGCCCACATTCTCATGGCGCTTCTTGGGGCTAAGGAGAAAGAAATAGCAAAACAAATGATGGATTCGATAAAGTCATTTGCAGTGTAAGTTTTGCTTTTCCATCTTTGCTCTTCCATTTTCCATCTTTTCAACCCTCGTTTTTATTTCCAGAAGCACACAGATCTATAAAAATTATCATTTTGTCCTCCTCTGTAAGAAAACGAAGTTTTTCTATTTAACACAAAGGATAGTTATCAAAACTTCAGTTACTAACACTAAAATGCTTTTTGTTTTGAAACAGTAAATTACTAATTTTAATCCTTGTTATTTTAATACACATTTTGTTTTGAAACAGTAAATTCTTGATTTTAATCCTTGTTATTAAAAAATCCATTTAAAAGAGAATCACGTTATTTTATTGCCAGCGGTGGTTCAGTTTTGAAAGATTTGTATATTCTAGTAAGGGGCGTGGCCACAACCATGAGGTTGCAGCGGAAGTTGGCGTGCCTCTTTGTGAAGCCTTCGAAGCATACGATAATGGTGACTTTGGTAAAGCAGTTGACTTGCTGTATCCTATTCGTTATAAAGTCATAAAAATAGGCGGAAGTCACGCACAGGTGATTGAGAAGATTCTTGAGTTAAACTTAATTTTGTTAATATTTGATATTATTTGTTTGGTCACGTTTAGAAAAAATAAATACAAAAAGTAAAGATGATAATGAAATAGTTCTGTTTTTGTTTCTGTCGAGTTTAATGACGCCGATTAGGACATTTCCGTTGATGTCATTAGGCAGACTAATTTGTCGTTTTATGAAATTATTTTGGCGAATGCATAAAGTGAAATCATTCTCCTAGTATTTTGCTGTAATAAATTTCATTTTATGTCCATGTAGAGAGATGTCTTCAACCTGTTTCTCATCCAAGCTGCGCTGAAATCACAGGAGAAAAAACACCACAAGATAGCAAGGTAACAGTAAAACAGTAGATCTTAGTGCATGTAGCCTTCATGCAAAATTATACTTGTCCATAGTGAAGAAAATGTCCATTTATTATATAAAAATACTAATTAAAAATTTATTTGAAAAAAAAAAAAAACGCTTACGAAATCGAGACCAGTTAAGCCCACCAAGTCCACGGTATTTTACTCAGTACCTCAGAATCTCGCCACCTACATTTAATGTTTATTTTTCAAGTGAGAAAGCATACGTCATTACCACAGGTGTTGAAATCAATAAAAGCTGCTCTGAAGTCCAGGTCAACTTATGCAATATTTTTTATATATTTGCAAGATATAAGTAAGCTTCATCGAAATATTATCAGACGCTCGTGTTGATGGAGGTATGTTAATTTCCAGGATTTTATTGAATGAAAGGAAGGCACTGAAGGAGAACTCGCCCATGACTGACCGACTGATCCAGAAAGCACTGGCACTGCATGCTGATTGAAGACAGCAATTTTGGGAAATAAAAATCAAAATAAAGGATCGTGTTTGATACGAAAAGGTATAACATGGCTAAAATGTAGCATAAAATATGATTTCTGTATATCTGAATGAATGATTAATTTAGTTTTTTAAATAAATTATGTATTCATAATTGACTTACTGGTACTGATATAGAACAAATTCAACTTTAGTCGTGGGGACGCTTTTTCTGTTAATATAACGATGCAGTGTGTTATAGACATAAATTTAAAGCGTGTTATATAATTTGTATGATACAGAGATGATTCATTGCTCGGTGTTGTCTCCCTTCGCTCACTGTCTGATAGTCCTTGCGACAACTTGGAGGCCTGTAGATGCTGAAGCTAATTAAAGGCGTCCTTTTAAGCCTAAAGGTTAAGTTTTGGAGATCACATCGCATAAATCTGAGGGGAACACGTTCAAAAGTAAGTCGCTACTTGGGTACAGGTCCTTTTACTATAAGCAGAGAATAAAACTGTCTGTATAAAAGCCCTCTGTGATGACGACCTGAGACAAGCAATGCATACGAGAAAGCATTTCCAGAGCACAGTTTAAGCACACCCGAGTCTCATCCAAGGCAATGGCGATCATGAACTCCCTTTTTATATATATATATATATATATATATATATATATATATATATATATATATATATATATATATATATATATATATATTGGTAGTGTTGGAACCAATTAATTGTTTATTAATAATAATAATAATAATAACAAACTTTTCTCAAATTTTCTTGTTATCGTTTTCCTTATGTAGTCTTTATCGTTTCTCGATGCGCGTTGCCATAGTTAAATTATGACAAAGTGCTCACCTCGAGGTTTTATCTAGGCCTACAGTACACACCTGTTTTCCATCACAGAGTTTTGGAGATTATTTGAAATAACAGATTGGAGCGTCATGATGTACATCTATACCATACAGCAATATATGACGTGAACTGTGTAATCTTTTCAACGTATAAACTGGGTTCATTTGTTAATAGGAACAGGAAATAACACGCTATTTAAGATTACATGTCCGTCTTTTGACCAGTGCTGGCAAGCGACTAAACGACCGAAGATGACAAAATATAGTCAGGCGATATTGGTTTATTAGTTTGCGTACGTTACTATTCTGTTCGTTTACAGTATTTTTCAGTTACACTATGCTTAGACAATATGTAAAGGCTATTAGGCTTATATGCCCCCCCTTTCCCATAGTTACTAGCACAATGTTTAAGTCAGTTAAGAGGGCGTGTTAACTCTACAGTCCAACGGATTGTTTTAGATTTTCTCCTCCTTCCACGAGTGTGTATAAGGTCACCATTTCACTGGCGTGTTTGCTGAAACGCGTGTACTGGCCTTGTTTTCACAGAAACCAACCATACCGACTTGGGCCTTGCATATTATTTCATGAGCCAGCCTGTGTCGCTCTTTTCATCTGGGGAAGATGCTTCACTACACTCGTGTCTTTGAGGGAAGGCCTACAGCACACGACAGGGAATGTGCTGGACAAATAGTGTATAAAACTATGTTTAGATTAATTGAACAGGATACCTCCTTTCGCTGCGTAAGTTAGTCTTAGACGTGCTGTGGGGAACTCACGAAACACGTATGACTTTCGACGGAGGAGTTATAGAGAACACACGTAAGATATATGACTGTTGGACGAATGCGTCCTTCTCTTATCCAGTGAGGTACATATCGTGTACTCCCTTGTCTTGTCTAACATGAAATGGCACTGAAGCACTGTCTTTATAACGCCATGGTTCTGTTCTTGATGCTAGGGATTCAGTCCAGGTGTCTTGGCAAAGTGTAGAAAAATACTGTGGTATCCATCCAACAACTGCCAAACAGCCAACAACGCTCCATATGTATTTCATAAAATTCCTTCGCACTGGTGGAAATGAGTCTCTCTCCCCCCCCCCCCCCCCACACACACACACACACACACACCCAACACACACACAATCTTCTCATTGAAAATTATCACTGGGGCTATTATTAAAACACTCACTTATATGTTTGTTTTTACAATTAAAGCACATTAATAATATAGTCTTAATCAAATTAAAGACGTGTAATTCTAATCCCAGCAATTTTCCTCATCACTGCCGTCTCCACAGTCGTCGTTCTTGTCGCACTGATAGATAGGATAAATGCAGCGACCGTTTGTGCATTTGACGTTGGGCTGTGGGCATGGACAGTTCTTCTCGTCGCTCCCGTCTCCACAATCGTCCTGCATGTCGCACACCCACTGGGGAAATATGCAAATCCCAGTGGGGCACTGGTGGGTCTTGTTCTCGGAGACGCATTGGCAGTTTCCGGTGTCGTCTGCTTCGTCACTTCCGTCCCCACAGTCGTCGTAACCATCGCATTTGAATGCGACCATGATGCATTTGCCGTTTGCGCACTCGAATTGCTTGTCCCCACACGGAGACGGGCAATCTAGTTCGTCGCTGCCGTCAAAGCAGTCCTTCGTGCGACTGCGATCGCAAGCCAAAATCGCATGGATGCACTGCCCGTTTGCGCACTTGAATTGCCGTTCGGGGTCACAGTCAGAGAACGTACAGTTATCTTCGTCCCCGCCGTCTGCGCAATCGAGAGAGTAATCGCACACGAAATCTTTCGGAATGCACTCAGCGTTTGAGCATTCGAAGCCCAGGCTACCGCAGCGGTTTGGACAGTCTTTTTCGTCACTTCTGTCGGGGCAGTCGTTGACAAAGTCGCACCTCACTGACTCTGGCACGCAGCCTCCCTGGGCACAGGTGAACTCCGTGTCGTTACAAGGCCTGTAGGTGCAATTTGTTTCGTCGTACCTGTCACCACAGTCGTCATAATGGTCGCAGACAAGAGCGACAGGAATGCATCTACCATTAAGACACCGAAATTCGAAACTTTGGCATGGCGGCATGCAGCCTGTTTCGTCACTTCCGTCTCCGCAGTGATCTATGTCGTCACACACCAGTGACGCTTGGATACATCGTTTGTTAGCACACTCATACTGGTCGCCAGTACAGGGGCATTCCATTTCGTCCTTTCTGTCTTCACAATCGTATCGCCCGTTGCAACGCCAAGAGAGCGGAATCAAGGCGCCATTTCCACATTGGAAGGTGGTGCCCTCTATCGACTTGATCTGATCGCATTCGATTTTTGAGCAATTGCCGTTGGCCAGAGAAGGTCCTTGTAAAGCGAATTCGGTTAAGCGGCTCCATTCGCAATCAGAACCACCTGCAATGAAATAATTGACCGGAGTGAAATGCATGTATATGAAATGGGGAGAACTTGATAACACGAGAATAAACATTTGTTACGAAAAATATAAAAAGACGTTTTGATCTAATTTCCCATTATTTTATTATTTTTTGACTTTGAGCTCGAAACAGCAGTTACGTTAACTTGCCACCAACCATCACACTTGAATACCGTAAACATCCAGCGTTGACGAGGTCTCTCCTTATTAAAGTTTTACCTACATGTAAAACGCACCCTTTCATTCATTGTTTCAGATTACTGGCTGTAAATTTTCTGTAAGTAACATACGCTTTTCGAAACCCTGCCTTTCATAGCACTTTCACATGAATCTCCTTAAATGAACCAGACACGACATTGTAAAAAAAAAAAAAAAAAAAAAAAAAAAAATTCAACTTTTTTCAACATCGTCGTTTTGCTGGTTAACAAAGTTCAGATTCTCCAATTGTCTATCATATAGACTGAGCAAAGGTATAAACGCCCCGTGTGAATAATACCTAACATTTAATGGGCTAATGCTAATCTATAGCATATTGGGGAACAAAAATTACCATGGATGATTTAATATACAGCATTAACATGCATAACTCATAATGCTAATAAAATATTTTTGAATTAAAAAAATTAAAGTATTGCACGGGCCGTTTATATATTTATCTCAGTGTACGCAATGTACTGGACCAACCTGCAGACGGATCCACCAGGCCATTGCAAATGGCTTCAGGGTCCACATTCATACAAGTCAGCTCCTTGTAACACACGGATGTCACATCTGGAAAGGAAACGTGGTCACATTTCGGTGCGGTTGATGGAGAACCCAAAATGAACTAGTCTGACAATGGTAGATGTTGTCAGACGTGGGTTATTATATTAGAATATCTTTGTTTGTCCGAGGCATTGTCTGGGAAGGTTTAGGATTGTCCGGAGGGAAGGGGAGGTCGTACTGATACCGTTAAATCAATTTTATTGTGATAACTTATCACTGTTCTTACATGTTTACATACGTGTACTAACAATAATGTCTTTGTAAAATAAGTGTATCCCAGTATACACAATGTACGGTGATTTAAAAAAAAATAATAATATGATGTTGATCGCTTGTCAGTAATGGATTAAAAAATTGAAAGTATCATATCCAATCATTCATAGCAAAAGGTTCATTTCTAATAATACTATCATTCTCATTAGATTGATCAAACTCTTTGGGGACTCTCGCTGAGTGCAATCAGATTGACAGATTAACACGCCTCTTCTTGTTTTCAACGTAGGCCTACTCGGGAAATCACCGGCTTTTCTCTAGCGGTACAGCTACAATTTTCTCTAGCGGTACAGTTTTCTGTACCTCCCTATCTTGCCAGACAACTATCGCTCGATGTGAAAGAGGTCGGGTCTTACATTTGCAAACCTCCATACAAGGCAGAACAGGGAAAGGGCGTCGGTTCTCGTCCTGATAGCAACGGGGAAATAGCGCCTGACACAAGAAGGGCACCATGTACTGCGAGCAGTCGTGACACGCAGCCACACTCCGCAAGGACGCCAAGACGCTGGACTCCAGCGCTGTGGTCTAGAATTTAATGCAAGAATAAATGGATTAACTAAAATATAAGTTGATTAAGTAATCAGAATACGTACGTGAATCCGAACATATAATAATAATAATAATAATAATAATAATAATAATAATAATAATAATAGTGAAAATGAAATAACATCAGTATTCTACTTACGGTGTCTTCGTGGCCAAATACATTTGGAAAGGCTGTCCCAAAACGTATTACGTGGGGGCACACGTCCACGCGTACAAATTCACATGGGTTCCAGGTTGCTGAAAAATATTAATAATAACAATAATAAGAAGAAGAAGAAGAAGAAAGAGAAGAAGTAGAATAAGAAGAACTTAAGAGACTCCAGAGATAATGGGTCGATATATAGGACCAGAAAGCTTATTTTTTAAATACCGTTTGTTGTTTCCTGGTCGTAAGATAAAAGCAGACCCATTGGCCTGATTGCGTTGTACTTTAGTTTAATTCTCGCTTTAACAGTTTGTCTAGATTTATATTCAATACAAAGACTTGATACAAGGTATCCAAAGGTAATTCCAAAAAAGATCTGCCAAAATGGTTCCAGAAATGGTTTTGCATATACCCAATGTATTTTCTCATAAAGTAACCATGAACCCAAACATAAATAAATAAATAAAGGACACAAAATGCGTATGCTTATGCATATACATAATACATGTATTTCATAAATTAAAAACCAGATAACCACACGCTCACCTTGTATAATAAAATACGCCATGATCGTCACACAGCCGAATATTGTAGCGGACGTCAACAGAACAAAAGGTCTGGA